CCAGATTTAGCAGCATCTTTATAAAGCTGGGCATAGCGTTCGGCACGACTTTGTATCAGGCCTCGTTGAAGAGTGCCAAGAGATCTCGACGGTGCGCACCACGAGAGATGGCTTCCTGTACTGCTTGTTCACGATGGAGCGGATCTTCTGGTAGAATGGTGGGATAGATAGTACTATAGTCTTCTTCGAGTTGTCGTTCTCCGGCGAGTAATCTCGATAAAGGTAGGCATGGTCTCCATCCCCATCCGTAGACCAGTTCATGGGCACTTGGCCGAGAATCAGTGCCCAAACTAGAGTTGATACGGGCTTGAGCAATGCTGACCATCTCCTGTAGATCACGAGTGGGACAACTGTCGAATAGACTTCTGAGGCATTTAGTAAGAGGCTTATGATGAGTTTCCCACCATCCTCCGAGATGTGGTGTTGATGGTAGATTCACTCGATGACGGATGTTGCTCAACAAGCACATAGACCCCCATGCCGAGCTCATAAATTGGGACCCACGGTCGGTCCAGCACTCTTGAGTATCAGCACAGAGTTCCCAGCAGATGATCCTCTCGAACGCACGGATCACAGTTTGCGAGCGACAATTCGCAAGCAGTTCGAAGCGGCAGTATCCAGTTAGCCTATCCGTCACAGTAAGGATGTAAGTTCCTTTCTGTGCTTCATCATCAACCGCCTTTTGGCGTTCTCGAGACCGTAATCGGATTGGACCAAAAAGGTCAGCTCCGACAATTTGAAAAGGCCATTGCGGAATGATAGCAGGACCGGGGAATGCCTTCAAGACATTACTGGCCTTTGGCACGGTACGAATGCAGGACATACATCTTGAGAGAGCAGTCTTGACAATCTCACGGCACTTAGGAGACCAACAGTGTTGAGACACTTCTCTGAAGGTAGCTAAAAATCCTGCATGGCCGAGTTCAGCGTGAACTGCTGTAGCCACTTCGGCCATGATGGACTTTGGCATCACCGTCTGAATATGCTCATCTGCCTGGCCAGTTCTGGAGGCGAGACTTCCCCTCATGGTTCTTCTCTTCAGGATGTCATCATCGTCGATGAAGAGATTATACAGATAACCGTTGATCGGAGTAGGAGTGGTGGGATCATGGGTAGGTTCCTTCAACTGTGCGATGGCTTGAGCCGTCTCATCATCATCGGCTTGAATCTTTCGGAGCCACCTTTTACGTAGGTCATCAGGAGGTGTAGTAGTATTCAGCTCGACCTTTTCGTTGTTGTCGGATTCCACAAGACTACTCCCAGTAGTTATCGCACCTCGCCAGGCTTGGAATGTCGAGTGCAGGTCAACGAATCGAAGGAAACTTGGGATTGAGATCCTCGTTAATCCGTCGACAGCCTCCTCCAAAGTCGTGGTCGTTAACAAATTGACATTAGATACCACCGTAGGTCGTTCTCGACCTTCTAAAACTGCTTCTTGGTAACGTCGTTCGGATACTGCTCTTGACAGCTTATCTGCCGTGACGTTGCTGACTCCACTGATATGCTGGACTCGAGCTTTTATTCCGTGCAGTTTCCAATCGAAGACAGTCTCGACTACCACACTCCTCAACCGTAGGAGAGCTTTGCGCTCAAGACTCTTCGTGGCTACCCGGCTCCAAGGGTCTACTTGACCGCTAGCGACCCTACTGTCTGTGCGAATGATGACCACTTGTAGAGATGGTAGTAGGGACCGGATGTCATCGATACGCTTTATGGCGAATGCAATCGCGGTCAACTCCCGCCGATTGCAATGCCATCCGAGATGTTTCTCATTAAAGGCCTTCGCATCAGCGATCACCACCCTCGATTTTATATCACCGAGCTGGTCTCGGTCACCGTTGTCAGGGAGCTCGCTCGCGTCGATGGCGAGGAAACCATGGCCTTCTTGTGAGCCGTCTACTTCGACTACAATCTTCGTGGTCCCCTGTAGGAGACAAAGGTTTTGATCTTCTTCAGAACAATCGACCCAATGCTGCTGCGCACATTTAAAGTGATCGTGGATCAGGTTGCACTGTTCCGCATCGGTACATACAGTGTCCCAACCTGGCCACTTTCCGGAGATGCGCCTCATCGAATCGGCGTGGGAGCGACTCATCGCTTCGGCTGCTCCTTGAGTAAAGAGTAGGAACTGGCCAGCAGCTCGATATACAGCTCGCTTCGTCATTCCTTCCAAGGGCTTCTCGCAGGTGGGCCTCCTCATTGATAGCCGACCCGTCTCAGAGTCATAAGTCCAATGAGCTCCTAGCCATCGTTGTTCGTGGCTGGCATCCCACCGTGCCCTCTTCGACTGAGGAGCTCGGAAGCCGGTGAGCTCCCATAGGACTTCCATACAGGCCTGAGACTTGTCACTCACCTTCGTGGATCCCTTCTTCATTGGAGATACGACCAGGAAGTCATCCATCACTGGGATCCAGACCGATTGAGAGGTTACATTCGATAACATATGTCGCATGATAGTCAGCAAGGTGAGTTGAGAGTAGTTCAGTGAGAGAGGTCCCGCGCTGGTTCCGAAGACCAGACAACATGAACTGTACCACGTGGGCCCACAACGGATCCACACCTTCAACAGTCTCCTGTCAGCAGCTGACCGAGGTAGAATCCGAATAGAGTAGAACGCCTTCTCTAGATCATATTGATCTATCTGGTACTGCTTGTGAGCGTCGAGACTACTCCGTAGTTTCAGGATAGCATCACTGATCGACGTCGGACCCACTCCAGTTGGTGCTGCGGCTTTCAGCTTCGGCGAAAGCTCGTTGGCCCTTCTCAGATCGATGCATGGGCGGACTCGAGTCGTCTTCATTGCACATTGACGCACTGGGAAGCATGTCGCACTTAGGTGCTTCTCCCCATCTGGAGGCCCAGAGGGTTCTTCGACCCACCACCCTCGAGATACATATCCGTCTATTTGGTGATCCCATTCTTCTTTCTCAGATGGTGATAGATCTCCGATAAGCCTCGAACTATCCCATGGTCCTCGTCTCACGTTGTCGTGTAGGTCCACATCGTTGACATCCCACGAGATTTGAAATTGGTAGGCTTGGGTACTGGTGTCTTGAATGATTATATCAGCCTTCGATGCGACTCGGCCTCTGAATCCTCGACTTATGGGGATCCATCCTTTTCGAACTTGCTCATCGAGGCACTTCTTCGCGTC